TAGGTTTATAGGGTTACTTTTAGTGTTACGGTTAGTGTAAAAATTAGGGTTAGGGTTAGGGTTCAGGTCAGTGTTTCTTTTAGATTAAGATATACTGTTAGTTTTATGGTTTGGGTATGTGTTAGGGTTAGGGTTAGGTTTATTATTGGGATGAATGTTTGGTTTAGTATTAGGGTAAATATTAGGGTTAGGGGTAGTGTTAGGGTTAACATTAAAAATGAGGTTTGGTTTAGTGTTTGTTTAGTGTTAGGATTAAGATTAATGTTAATTTTAAGGTTATGTAGAGTGTTAGGATTAGTTTTAGTGTTAGCTTCATAGATTGGATTAGGTTTAGGTTTAGGTTTAGGATTACGGTTAGGTTAAGGGTTATTGTTAGGGTTAGGTTTATGGTTAGAGTTAGTTTTAGGGAATGGTTACGATTAAAGTTAGGTTTAGGGTTAGTGTTAGGGTTAGGATTAAAGACAGGGTTTGGTTTAGTGTTCAAATTAGTTAAGATTTTTGCTTAGATTTAGGGTTAGAGTTAAATGTTAGGGTTAGGGTTAGGGTTTTGTTTAGTGTTAGATTTAGAGTTAGGGTGAGTGTTAGAGTTAGGTTCAGTGTTAGGGTAAAGTCTAAAGTTAGGTTTATTGTTAGTTTATAAGTGTTAGGGTTGGCTAAGAGTTAGAGTTAGAGTTAGGGTTGGGGTGAGGGTTGGCGTTCGTGTTAGGGATAGAATTGGCAAAAGTTGATTAGCTTTTTTTCCCCTCTTTGAAAACAAAGCCAAAAGTTCTGTGGACAGTAAAGATGAAGTAAGATAATGTGTAAAGAGTCATGTTTTTGAAGTGGTTGTAAAGAAAGACATATGCTACATGACATCACGTGGAATCTTAAAAAAGCTGAAGTTTCAGGAAAAAGCATAGATGGTGGTTACCAGCAGGTGGGGAAAATAAAGAGCTGTCAAAGGACAGAGAGTTGTATTTACAAGACGAATAAATTCTGGAAACTTAATGAACTAATGATGACTGTAGTTAATAATATTGTATATTTGAAATTTTTTTATATTTATTTTTTAGTTTTAGGTGCACACGTATCTTTATTTTTTACTTTTATGTGGTGCTGAGGATCAAACCCAGTGTCTCATGCATGGTAGGCGAGTGCTCTACCACTGAGCCCCAACCCCTGTATATTTGAAATTTAATAAGAGTAAATCATAAGTGTTCTTACAAAACAACAACAACAACAACAACAAATCCAGAGGGGCAGGGGAGAAACGAAGGAAGGAAAGGAAACTGAGGTGATGGAAATGTTAGCTTTATTGTAGTAATTTATAATATATACTTATCAAAACATCACAATGTACACTTTAAATATATACAATTTTTATTTGTCTTTTCTACTTCTGTAAAGGTAGAACAACAGATCAAAAATGGTGTTGTTTATAAACAAAAACATGCATTTGTACTGGGCATTGTTGTAAAAGATGAAGAAATGATTTTTTTTACTCCTAATTGAAGTGGGCATACTATTTTTACCTTCCCTTTATAGGCAAGGAAATTGAGGAATAGAGAAATTATTGCCCAGATAGTAAGCCCTCTCTGGCTTATGTGCATCAGTATTTGTAAGCAGCAGAACTTTGAATACACTTTGGTCATCTGTGGGGTTGAGTAATTCTGGTAGCCTGAACAGGGGCAGAAAATAAATGTAAGGAAAGAGAAAAGGAAGCTGAAAATAAAGGAAGGAAGGTGTGGAAAAATAGACTGCTGCTTATGACAGACTTAACTTCCTAAAACTGCCTCTGGAAACTACTCTGCCAGTCTAAATGCCACCTTGGCATTTTTTATTTAGCAACAGTTTTGTCTATTAAAAACATCTTTCTACACATAATTAGATATGCCACTGGCTACATCACACCTTGTGAAACATGATTATATACAGGCCAAACCTAAGGTGATTTGCATTTTCTGCTCTTAGACAGCCATTGAAATTAGTGAGGAGGAACCTAGTAGCCTCAGTGAAGTAAATCTTATGCTTTATTAAGACTCTTTCATCCATCTTTATTGAGGGGCCATTGACAGACCTCACTGTGGAAAATAAGGGAGGCTTTAACTCATTTGAGAGGGACTATCAACTCCCTCTTTTAATGTAGCTTAATGGAATTATTTCTTGAGGAAAAAACAACTGTAAGATATTTATTATAACTTGCTAATTATAGCAGTAAAAATAAAAATCCACTTGTGTCTTTTAAAGGAGAACTTGGATGATTTCCACTGAATTAGAAAACAGTCTTCCTTTGTTTTCCCCCCAAACCTCACAGAACAACATAATCCTAACCTTTGAAAAATCTTAAGCTTTTTATTGTTTTGGAGTAGAATTTAGATTTTGAGATACTTTTGTATTATAAGCTAGTTTCTTCTGACAGTGGTAGAAGTGAGTAGAACATTCATACTCAAATCCTTTTGTGTATTTTGTTTGGAAATTGCTAAATGAGGATGTGAAAATAGAAGCACTCTGTAAGTACAGAAGTACCTGGGATAGTTGAGCCTACTTGTTTTTGTTGTTCCTTTAGGTTTGTTCCAAGATGAAGAGTCATGCAGTGATAGTAGCTACCACAATAAGCCAGTCACTAGTTTCCAAATTTTGTGCCAGAAGGAAAAACTCTTTTCCCAGAAATATTCCAAACAAGTCAACTTTTGTTCTATGAACGATTCAGAGACTATCAAGATTACATTTTAGGTGAGTAGGTTTTTTTTTTCCTTCTTTCATCTTTTTAGTTACAAGTAGAATGTCTGTCTCAGTGTCTGAGATTGCCAATTGTTGGTTTTGAGAAAGTAGATGTAATTGAATCTATTAACTTTTCTCTGCTTTATACATACTCAGTTCTTACTGTGTTTAATTTGTTTGTAGCTGACTGCAAGGCCTCTAAAATAAGGGAATTCACAGCTGAGTTCTTGGAGAAGGTCCTTGAACCATCTGGATGGCGGGCAGTCTGGCACACAAATGTGTTTGAGGTGCTGGTTGAGGTAAATTTAATTCTGTTGTTAAGATATTTGTCTTTAGCTATAAGCACTTACTTCAGACTGTTATAGCCAAAGTGCTTATTTTTAATTAAAGTTTATGAGCTGATTGAAAATAGCATGTTTTTCTCATCTAATTGCCATGGTGTTC